CGCAAAGGCGCTTTCCGTACTCGAGTACCACTTATGTGCATCCCTGATTATAAACTAGTTTCTCCAGGACTTTGGCCAAAGAATTCCAAGTCCTTGGTAACTGTAGCTTCCAGCAACACTATGGCCAATCACTATCAGTAACAGACCTTCAATACCGGGGCCGATCAGTTATGAAAATTTACCTGGACCAGAGTGGGGAAGGGCCAAGAAGGGCTGGTGGAAACGGGGCTATAGATAACTATAGTATGTGGTAGATGCATGGATCTATTATAATAACTGGATAGGGTATTACTAGATTGTAGCTGAAGAACCCACGTGCTCGGGGAATTCTCGCGGAACTGCAGACTAAATTCACGTGGGCTACCCATAAATTTGCCCCATAGAACTATGGCATCTTCTTCAGAACTCAATGTTAACTAAAACAGCTCGACCTCAGCTGACAGAGAACCTACAGCTTTCATAAAGTTCGGATTTTGTGGGGATTTTAGTGTCCCTTGTCATTCTGAACTTTTCTTCTTCTTAAATCCTTCAGTTTTCTTCAATCAATCAATCAACTTTATTTGTATGGCGCCTTTCCAACACAAGGCCACTCAAAGCGCCTCACAACCCACATAATATCAGACAAATCAGAAACATAAAAATCTACATAAACATATACAAACAAAGACATTAAAAACAGAATAAAATCACAAGTAATTAAAAACCTTAAAACATTAAAAGCACACACGGGATTAAAATAAAAAATAACCACAATGCTTTAAAAAAAAGAGTATGTATCAAAATCCTTCAGCCGTAAGCACAGCTAAAAAGAACAGTTTTTAACCCTTATTTGAAAATTGCCAGAGTAGATGCTAGCCTCACATCTTCAGGAAGATTGTTCCAGATTTTAGCTGCATAAATCTGAAACGCTGCCTCCCCATGTCTAGTTCTGACTCTTGGAACCAGTAAGAGGCTATTTCCTGTGCTCCTCAGAGTCCGGGCCGGTTCATATGGCACTAACAAGTTGCTTAAGTACTTTGGTGCGAGGCCATGGAGAGACTTGTACACAAGCAGTACTGCCTTGAAGTCTATTCTCTGAGCCACAGGAAGCCAGTGTAGAGACCTGAGGACTGGACTAATGTAGTCATATTTCCTGGTCAGGACTCGAGCGCTGCATTTTGGACATACTGCAGTTGTTTTACAGCCTGTTTGGTAAGCCCAGTGAGCAGGCCATTGCAGTAGTCCAACCTACTGGAGACAAATGCATGGATGAGAATCTCCAGATCTGATTTAGACACTATGTTTCTAATTTTGGCAATGTTTTTCAGATGGTAAAAAGCTGCCGATGTTACTGATTTGACGTGGCTGTTAAAATTTAAGTCTGAGTCCATTATAACTCCTAGGTTTCGAACCTTGCCTACAGGTTCCAGGGAGACTGGAGGTGACAAATAACGTTCTCTTTGTTTCTGAGGACCAAAGACAATCATTTCTGTTTTGTCTGCGTTCAGCCGAAGGAAGTTATTTTGCATCCACTCACTGATCTGTTGGATACAGTGTAGGAGTGAGTCCACTGGTCTATGTTCTCCTGCAGTAAGTGAGACATAAATTTGAGCGTCATCAGCGTAATTGTGGTAGGATACATTGTTGGAGCGTATTACTTGACCTAGCCTGGCCTTAGCCATCCGTACACTCTGCTCAATCCTCATTTCACTGCATGTAACGTCTGGGTCTGGTCCCTGTGTTAGCGAATACAATCGGTCGTATTTTGACCGGCTACTCAGAGAGCGCGGAAGGCGGGTGTTGTAGTTAGTTGTGGGTGACGTCAAGAGTTTGCGCCGAACGGGCAGGTTGTGGCTTGGTAGTGGCGAAGAATGCAACAGTAAAGTAATCCGGTCTGGTTCTATCAAGAAATTGAAGCAGGAGCAAGAGGAATGTTTAGCAAATGTAATCGCTGGAAGAAATTGTGGAGCTACTCCCCATGGGCTCTGTTAGTGGCAAAGGAGATGGCTAGGCTAAATGCTAAATGCTAACAACACACTCGGGCGCATTACATACGTCACAGTAAACTCAGATCCAATCGTTTCAATCTGCAAAAGGAGTTAACCCCTCCCAACTGTAAACTGAGCTCAATGGAGCAAATCCAGACCTTAGTATGAAATGTAATTTGTACTAAGGTGTGGTACAACCAGGCTATACTTGACCGAATGGCAGCATGTAAATATTGAACAGAAGAGGTCCCAGAATTGACCCCTGTGGCACTCCGCAAGTCAGGGCCATATGATTTGAGACACAGTTTCCTATCTGAACCAAGTATTTCCTGTCTTCTAGGTAAGACCTAAACCAACTTAGGGCAGTCCCAGTGACACCCACCCAGTGCTCTAGTCTCTGCATGAGGATCTCGTGGTCGACTGTGTCGAACGCAGCAATCAGACCCAGCATTACTAAAACTGTGACTTTTCCTGTGTCGGTGTTAAGTCGGATGTCATTTGTAACCTTCACTAGTGCAGTCTCAGTGCTGTGATTGGCTCTAAAGCCGGACTGGAGCGCATCAAAGGAACTATTAGTTACTAAGAATTCTGTAAGTTGTTGGTAAGCAACTTTTTCCAGAATTTTTCTTATGAACGGCAGATTTGAAATGGGCCGGTAATTCTTAAGAACTGTGGCATCTAGACTCTTTTTTAAGAGTGGTCTGATGACTGCCGTTTTCAGGGCCATTCTTTAAATCCACACTTTGGTGCCACAAACTCTGCTCGTCTGGCTCCAGCTCCCCTGATGAGCTGTTCTGATTGGTCAGAGCGCGGCCGAGCCCTCTGTGCACATGCGTGAGACCCCATGTGAGTCCCACACACGCGTATTTGGTGCAACGCATTTTGGGAGATCATCCACTGCGCAGAACCGGGAGGACCTGACGATGCCCAAATACAGGTGAGTTTCCCATGGATCTTTGAGAGTTCAAGGCGACTTCCGCTAATTTTTCAGCCCCCACAATGCACCACTGAGCAGAAACCATTCATTTGAATACGGCGCCATCTTGGATCGCCAGGGCTTGGGTAGATGTCAGAATCATTTTTATTGCCATGTAAGTAACAGGAAGTCCCAAACTAGAAATTGCTTTGGCTCTTGGTGCAAACAAGTCAAGAGTAGAGGAGGAATAAGGCATAAAAAAACATTTCTAAAGTATACAACATAAAAAAGGGGCATGTGATTTATTTATTTATTTTTTAACACATTTGAGTTTGTGGTGAGCCAGCGGCTGTAAGAGTAGAGTCTTTGATCACAGTTGTGTCTACTTAGAAAGGCTCCAGGATCAACTGTTGGTTGGTTTTCTGGTACGGGGGTCTGTCAACAGAGAAAACGATTCTATAGCAGCCTAGAGACCACTTTATAGACAAACCAAAAGGACTTCAATATATATTTGTTTGTCTACAAATGCCTTTACGGCCTAGCTCCGCGTCATCTGTCTGACCTACTGAAGTCATACGCAGATCTGGCTCTGCTTGGGGTTCCTCAGACCAAACAAACTCAAGATTTTTCGGTTGTTGGTCCAAAACTATGGAACTGGCTGCCCCTGTGTGTTTAGTCCAGTAGGGGCGGGTCCCGGCTCAAAAGTGGCCAAAATGACGTGCGCTGACATGCTTGCAATACCACCCCGGGCCGATTGGGGTGGACCCAGAAGACGAATTAGCCAATGCTAACATATAGCATAGATAGACTCGAAAATTTCTTTATAGGATGGTCCAAAAGTTGGCTCTTGGCCCAAAGCACCATTCCACATGTGTGTCAATGCTGAGGGGAGTGAATTTTTTTGGACCACTCTAGTTTACTTGCTGTGAATTTTTGAAGTCTCTCGTTCAAATGAATGGAGCTCTCGCCAGCTGACGCATGCGCAGTTGCGTTTTTTTCACAATTTTCTTGTGGGCGGGACCACTTGTGGCCATTTTGGGTAGCTCCAGCAGAGCACAATTTTTGGCCCATTAGAATGGCAGAGATAGGCGTGACTCTGTCCGTTAATATATACAGTCTATGGTTGTCTGTCTCATTCACTTGTTTAAGTCTCGTCTTAAGACTCAATTGTTTTCATTGGCTTTCAATTGATTTTGTATAGTTGATTTGTTTCTGTAAATAGTGTGTTCTCTAATTGTATTTTAATGTAGTGCACTTTGATCAACTATTAGTATTAGATAGCAATATGGCCTACGTGCAGGACTGTACAAGGACTCTACAAGGACTCCATGTTATGACTATGATTTGACTGTCTCTTTGTGACACGTATGTCTTTCGATGTGTGACGTGACAATGACTATATAAACTGTGTACTGCCTTTATTCTGTCTGAGAGAAAGAAACAGAGTAAAACAGTGGAACTTGAGAGAAACTTAAATAAACTTCCAGAGTTTGGCACACCACGATCCGTCTCTGTCTGCTAAATCCTTACCAGAGATTTGGTGGAGAATGCGCGGCTCGGTTTGTGCCATTCTCTGGATTGTTTTGAGAGAAAACATGATTTATCCATATTTACCCGTACTGACAGTTCCTCCAATAGGTTCCTGAAGCTGCTCTCAAACTGGTGCGCTAACCACTTCTCAAGCGAGTTTAAGATAAGCAAACTTAAATTTTTCCCACAATGGAATTGTGATTGCTGTAAATACTATTTACAGAAGATTTACATGTACAGGGTCAGCAGTTTTCTGGTACAGTAACAGCAGCAGGAAGGACAGATCAGAAGAATTTCACACGGCAAGGCTGTCACTGGTCAGAGTGTGAATCCTATAACTCCAATCACAATCTGAAAAAAACATTTGGACATTTTTATTTCAAAATGTCTTTCAAATTGCTTCTTTCTCTTCAACACAACCTAATGTTCCATTACATCTATAATAACAAATCCAGCAGGTGGCGCCAGCGAATGCTGTAGATGTACGCATGCGCAGCACAGTTTGCTTGCCTAGCTTGTTGTTAGCTTAGCCGTTAGCCACACTTCTGTCGTGGTGTTAGCTCTCGAGCTAAAAACAGTTTGTTAAAATGTCTACGGGACCAACACTGAGAGCTTTGGTGACTGCACGGCTCACGGCGGCTGCGGAGGAGATATTTGCGCTGTTTGAAAGAACGATAGCGGAATATGAGGAGGAACTGCGGCTGTGCAAAGAGAAGCAGAGGAGACAGGAGCAGCTGGAGACTCTGAGGCCGAGAGTGATGCTGCCCAGAGCGGGTGAGGCTGCTTCATCAGTCTGGGTGTTTTCTGAAGACCAAACCTCAATAAACCCTCCGATATCTAAATCCTTGATGTGCTGCTCTCTCACACTTCTCACATAAACCGCTCTTTTGCGAATTATTAATACTGGAAATAATAATTAGTGTGTGACATTGGCTATTGTTTGGAGAGCACATTTCATTAAAACACTGCTAGTATGACCATGAGCTATCTTTTACTTTGATTTTCAAAGTATACGTTTCACACGTTTAGTTATTTTCCTACTGGTCGTAGTTATGGCAAAAGGAGGGACCATTTTAAAATAGAATTCTGTTGAAAAATGCATCTAGTAATAGTAGTTTCCCATAGTCAGAAATATATTTTTTTTAATATTCTTGTAATTTTGAGCTCTTTGAAGCCCAAAACGCCTGATCAGGTGTCACAATGATTTCCTTATATTTGTACTGAGTAGACCAAGTCTGATTGATTCTATGTGTTTTACTGTGTGAATGAAGTGAGATTGTTCACGCTTCAGATTTTATCCCAGTCAGTTTTGAGTGTAACGTCATGAACATCTGGCAACCATATTGTAAGCAACACTCCTCTGTGCTGCAGGAGAAAGAGCCATGTCCTAGAATTTCAGTTGGAGGGTAGATGCCAAGCGTTTTTGAAACAAATTTAGTACAAAGTTATGTCCGAATATTTGCCCAGATAATGTTTTTTTAGTGATTTGATTCACAAGCTTGCAATGTTAGACCATATATACTGACAAAAAAGATGTGGAATTTTGTGACAGGCCCAGAATAGGAATTGGATACATTATCTATGAACTAAAGCTTCCTCCAGCACAATTTAAACTAGCTCTTGTTTTAACACAACCTTTTATGTAATTATGTAAATATTAGTGGATCCATCAAAATAAGAATGTGCCTCTATTCAGTTTATTTTATTGTTAAAGGGTTATAATGTTGGTACACAACATCATAATGGTGACAGTGCTCTAAGTCCAGTAGTAACTTTTCAGTGCAAAACAACCATAGGAGTTTGGAAAAAATACAAATTATAATAATGAAAGCACTTCAAAGGCAAACTTGGTGAATGTTAACTTTATCCAAAAATGAACCGTTACAATAAAGCTTGCTCATGTGTAGTATGTAATGAAATATATTCTCTTTTGCAGATTCCCAAACGGACCCCCAGAGTCCTGGCCCCGATCTGAACCAGGAAATCCCAGAGACACCACCAATAAAAGAGGAGCAGGAATTTAAGAGGGTGAAACGAGAGAAAGATCGGCGGCCCGAGTACGACTCCACTGACACAAACCTCACTACAACCACTGTTACAATAATGTTCTTATCATTCTGTGACTCATGAGGACTTTACATTTCCGTCAGAAGTTAATCGAGGCCCCTTGACCAATAATTGTGAATACTTACTGCACAGTATGTTGACCCCTTTTCTGTTTCATTATTTACACTACAATTAAATAATGAGTGTGACGATATATCGATATAACAATATATCGTGATACTTTCTCCCGCGATCGATTATTGATATGCATTTGCCAAGTATCGATTTTGATTTTTTTATTTCTTTAAAAAAATAATTTGTATCAATACTTATTATTTGACTACATTACGCATCTCCATTCCATTTATCATGAAATAAAGTGTATTTTTTCCCCTAACATTTTTCTTTTGATTATGCCATAAATTTGCAAATGGTATATTGGTCAGAAATATATTGATACTCGTCATATTGTGATATAATCGTTATCGTGAGCTTTGTATCGCGTATCGTATCATGAGGTACCCTGAGGTTCCCACCCCTAATTAAAACTAAACCTGGAGTTGCAGTATTTACATGAATAAACCGGACTGCTGATGCTGAGACTGAACTGGTGAGGTTCACAGTAACTGTAGTGTTAACGTCAATAATATGGCCATCATGTGTAAGAATCTCGAGGTTCAGGTTCCAACTTAACCTTAAAACCCCCAAAAAACTGAACTCTGTAATTAAATCTAACAAGTTTCTTCCTCTTGTTCTATTTGTTCACAAAAGTTTAATGCAAAGGTTTTGCACAACTCATCGTCATTTATTTTATGACGATGAGTCCCTCAGCTATAACTTCCATCAGAGACACAGGGACATCCACTTACACTGATTCTTTACAGGAGGTTGGACTTCAAAATTTCTTCTTTTTGATTCTCAGGTCTGTTCCGGAGTCCAGTCCTGTGTCTGTGAAGAAAGAAGAGTCGTCACTGCTTCAACAAACTGAGCTCAGAGACGAAGCTCGTGATGAAGACATCAGTACAGAGATGCATTTTCACTCAGAGTCTGATGGAAACATGAGACATTTTTCCGATTTTAACAATGTTGATAGCAACAAGGCTCCATTCAGGTGTTCAGCTGCACCGATGGAAACAGAAGCTGTTGCAGACCACTACCACCACGCCCCAATCAGGGCCAGAAGCTCTGCTGCACATCACTCTGGTTATTTATCCAAATACAAGTCTACAGCAGGAACCAGTGCCTCTATGCACACTGGACACATGTCTGGAAAAGCACAAGGAGCTGGGGAGAGGAAACACCGCTGTCCTTTTTGTAAAAGGGGATTTGTGAGAAAAGATAACTTACAAACACACATAAGAATCCACACAGGAGAGAGACCCTTCAGCTGCCCAGTGTGCAATAGGTCGTTCTCTCACAAGTCCAATCTTAATATTCACATTAGAACACACACAGGGGAGAAACCTCACATTTGTTCAATTTGTGATAAAGGATTTATGCGGCGCTGTGATTTGGAGTTACACATGAGAATGCACACAGGTGAAACACTTGTCCGTAATAAAAGAAACAATAGCATCTCTAATGTCGCAAAACCGATGCACACAGGTCAGAGTGGCCAGGCGCAGGGCTTTCCCACGGAAATGGGAAACTTCTTAGGACCTTCTGCGAGTGAAAGATATTGTCCGCCAGTTGGGCCAGATATGTTTTACATGTAATAACTGTTTATGAATGTGTCTCTTGAAAGGCTGGTAATTTAAGAACACATTTTCACAGCAAAAGGCTTCAGCACTCCAATGACCTCGACTAAAAAGTGTCTCATCAAGCCTTTTGCAGATCCCACATCTGGATGATGATTCATTTAGTAATGGAGTTTTACTTTCAATCAAGATATTAATGTTTTGCTTATCTTTTAGAAAATGTGTTTTAGTGAAAAGAATTGAGGGGATTCTCTGTGAAATAATACTTTATTATTTTGATTAGAAATGTTTGATTTATTTTCTAAAATTAACAAATATTGAAAAAAGACAAACTTTTATACACTGGTCCCGAGCAGAAGCAAATAGAATATGAACTTAGTCAACAATTGTGCGAGTTTAAGCTAAGCCGTCATCTAACTAGAGGTTACTTGCCTGTGTGAGTCATGATTTGACTCTTTGGGCTGAGAGCTGAGTGAGGGGGGTTCTCTTTAACTTGTTTGTCTGAAAAAGCCAATATAAAAATGTGACAGAAACCAATACTACATGCATGTGAAAACTGATAGAACCAAACTGTTTTGAGAGCTAGAAACTACAGTAGTTGATGGTATGACATTGTTGCATTTTTTTGTGGTTTGAAAATTAGCACCCTCAGTTTTCATTTCTGGGGAAGGTATTTGCTTATTATTGTGTCTGAGTTTTTATCCCCAGACATCTGCATTTATACAATTGAAAGTCTACTGTGATATTTAGTTCTGCTCTGCTCCAGTCTGCATGTGACCGGCATGTTCTCTGGGAAGAACAGCCTGATGATAAACGCACACAGTTTTATTGAGTATGTTTGTGTAAGCCCTCAGTCGTACAGGGATTAGTCAAAGCAAAGGAAGGTTTCTCACCCATCATCTGTACTTCTTAGCAAGTTTTCCCGACGAAACTTGCTAAGAAGTACAGATGATGGGTGAGAAACCTTCCTTTGCTTTTATTGAGTATATATATACATATTTGCTTCTTTTTTTTTTTTTACATTACCGTTAGTTAATATGTGTACTTCAGTAAAACGATAACCTTTGAGTCTTATTTATTTGGAAATCTAAATACATTTGTTATGATGAACATCTGCCACAGCAGTAGACCACACCAAGTCAGGCATATAAAGTATTCACGCAATATTTTTTCTTGGGAACTGTTTATACGTTTGGCTTGTGGAGAAATACTAAATGTGTTATTTGTAAAAAAGAAAAAAAAAGAAATGAAACTAAATAAATGTACCGGTTGGTTGATGTGTTAAATTTTCTATGGTGTCCTTTTTAACGATTCACTTTAGATATTGAGGTCAATTTTACTTAATCACTCTTTTCACTTGTCTTTTTCAGTCTTGTTTGAATTTAGAATTAACTTGGAGATTTTTCTAATCATCACTGTGTGCAAATACACTGAAAGCGCCTCCGTGATAAACCAGCTGTAACTACGTTTTCATTAAACATTTATTTATTTTAACCATGCTAGGCTTAATCATCATAGATTCATAAGCTAAATGGGCGAAACCCGATATTATGGATATCATGGATCTATAATAATATGGAGATGCTAAACCAAACCCCATGCCCGAAATGAATGAGACAGGAAGCTCATGTGACCGTCATGTTTACAACCGGAACTAGCAAGACGACCGCTATATAAAATATAATGAAAACTTTGGTGAAAATGGTTTTATTTTGTTATTTTTGTCTAAAAAATTTAAAACATAAACTACATAAATACAACATATTAGTATATGACTATTTAACTTCTATGGTAGCGTTGCTTTGCTGCGCATGCGCTGTACTGCATGCAGAGGTCAATTTCGAAGCACATGGCTCGTGTTATTATTCCACAACTTCATGAGAAAAAAAGGCCTCACAGCTATTGAATTGCTAAATCTGCAAGCTGATTGTTTTATCATATCGAGTTCGAATCTTCTCACTCACGCAAGGAGGGAAATGCCCCACAAATTGGCTCGTTATTTAATCTTCTTTCAGTATATTGGGACAAAATACAGGTTCGTCAAACAAATGCCATATTCGTATTTTTGCTGACTTAACTATTTTTCGACATTCCCGTAGTGGAGTGGTGAAGGTGCCTCCACATCAGCTGAGTAAGAAAGGGGTTCAAGACCATTTAGAAGTAAGTTAATTCTGAAATAAACAGTGTCTGCAACAAAACAACATAGAGACAGAGTGGTGATTGATGTTTGCGATGTTCTGGCCTGGTTTGTTATCAGCATGTGTCCTCAAGACACTTCACCCAAAATATAATGTAACTGCTTGACATTTTACAAAAAGAGATGGTTCTTCTCGAGGGTCTATCTTTAAGGATGTGATAATGTCATGATACTTTGATTCATGGTATTGATACTCATGAGAATAATGTCATTGTTGGGAACTAACTAAATTATTGAAAATGTGTGTTCAAATGATTAATCTGGATTGATAGTCAGGTTATTAGGAAACTAAGTGTGAGTTATGTTAAGGATTGCGTTCACAATATATATAAAAATATTGTCTTTCTCCAAAGAAATCAATATGCATGTTGGAACTGCAGTGTTTAACAGGAAATAGATGCTGCTGTCATTTTTGTGCATCTTATTTCTTGCCATGTTGTGTTTTGTTCTTTCCAGCCTCTGTTCAAGAGCCTGGGCACAAGCAGCAAATCGCAAAGCATGAAAAAACCGCACATGATTTATGCATGCAATTTTTGCACACTTTTTCGACATCATTATTGCACTTACCAAAATCACACTAACAATATTCTTTCAAATATATTATTTGGTATATTATTTAATGCTGGAATGTATTATTTGATCTAAATTACTGCTGCAATGTATGGCAGTATTATTTCATATACATTGAGATTCCAGCTGCACAGAATTGGTGTTTGAAGGATGGTGTGAGAATAATTCGTTTCTGATTAGGGCAAGGCAAGTTTATTTATATAGCAGGATTCATACACAAGGAAATTCAAAAGTCCTTGACAAAACAAAAAAATTAAATATTGAAATCACAACAGGAATCTCAAACAGATAAAAACATAAATACTCCATCCATCCATCCATTTTCTTCCCCTTAATCCATTTCTGGGTCGTGGGGGTGGCAGTCAGAGCTGCACCCAGTTCACAGAGCACCAGCCCCTCACTGATCCTCCTGCAGGTGGTGAGTCCACAGGAGCTGAGATCTTTCAGCGGGGGCTTCAGGCAAAGTGGGGTTAAGTGTCTTGCCCAAGGACACAACGACAGCAGTTATCAGTGGGAGTCGTTAAGTAGGTCTTATGGTGGGCTCGAACCCACGACCTTCAGGGCTAAAGGCCAGTGCTCTACCAACTGAGCTACTCTCGCCCCCATAAATACTCATATATTAAAAAAGGGCCTTTCCCTGTTGAGTTGAGTTGGTTCTAGTTGTTTTACATGCCTATTGTCTATTATCCATCAGTGTGTTTCTGCAGGCGGCGGTGCTGCGGTTGCGGCCTCTGAACGCTCCGTCTCTGTCTGTGTCCAGCAGAACGGACACTGGGGTCCATGCTCTGTGTAACTCTGCCCACTTCGATCTGCAACGCAAAAACAAACCTCCTTTTACTGAAGAGATTCTGAGGGAAGCGCTCAACTTCCACCTCCGAGAGCAAAGCATCCGGTCAGACTTGTTTTGTCTGCATGATTAATGAATAGTTTTATTCCAAAAGACGGTTCAAATGCTTGTGTTCAAACACTAGAACTCCCAGACTAGTCACTTTGACGGATCTTAGGTTTGGAAGTGTAATTACTCGCCATATGTACCTTTTTTGTTTTGGTAACTTTGTAAATTATGTGTAGTTTATTTCAATGTAGATTCAGGCTGTCAAAATGATCGCGTAAATGTACGTTAATTAATCTTTTTCATTAATCGCGCAAAAAAAATGGATGCATTGACGCATGTACGGGATGACCCGCCCATGCATCCCATAACACTCAGAATGCACAGGACTATTCTCTGCTTGTGGTGTGCGTGTCTTTGCGTAACCTGTGCATGCAATACAGTGCCTTGCGAAAGTATTCGGCCTTTGAACCTTTCAACATTTCGCCACATTTCAGGCTTCAAACATAAAGATATAAAAATATTTTTTTTTGTCAAGAATCAACAACAAGTGGGACACAATCGTGAAGTGGAACAAAATTTATTGGATAATTTAAACTTTTTTAACAAATAAAAAACTGAAAAGTGGGTTGTGCAATATTATTCGGCCCCCTTGCGCTAATACTTTGTAGCGCCACCTTTTGCTGCAATTACAGCTGCAAGTCGCTTGGGGTATGTATCAGTTTTGCACATCGAGAGACTGGAATTCTTTCCCATTCTTCCTTGCAAAACAGCTCGAGGTTGGATGGAGAGCGTTTGTGAACAGCAGTCTTCAGCTCTTTCCACAGATTCTCGATTGGATTCAGGTCTGGACTTTGACTTGGCCATTCTAACACCTGGATACGTCTATTTGTGAACCATTCCATTGTAGATTTGGCTTTATGTTTTGGATCATTGTCCTGTTGGAAGATAAATCTCCGTCCCAGTCTCAGGTCTTTTGCAGACTCCAACAGGTTTTCTTCCAGAATGGTCCTGTATTTGGCTCCATCCATCTTCCCATCCATTTTAGCCATCTTCCCTGTCCCTGCTGAAGAAAAGCAGGTCCAAACCATGATGCTGCCACCACCATGTTTGACAGTGGGGATGGTGTGTTCAGGGTGATGAGCTGTGTTGCTTTTACGCCAAACATATCGTTTTGCATTGTGGCCAAAAAGTTCGATTTTGGTTTCATCTGACTAGAGCACCTTCTTCCACATGTTTGGTGTGTCTCCCAGGTGGCTTGTGGCAAACTTTAAACAAGACTTTTTATGGATATCTTTGAGAAATGGCTTTCTTCTTGCCACTCTTCCATAAAGGCCAGATTTGTGCAGTGCACAACTGATTGTTGTCCTTTGGACAGACTCTCCCACCTCAGCTGTAGTTATCTGCAGTTCATCCAGAGTGATCATGGGCCTCTTGGCTGCATCTCTGATCAGTCTTCTCCTTGTTTGAGATGAAAGTTCGGAGGGACGGCTGGGTCTTGGTAGATTTGCAGTGGTCTGATACTCCTTCCATTTCAATATAATTGCTTGCACAGTGCTCCTTGAGATGTTTAAAGCTTGGGAAATCTTTTAGTATCCAAATCTGGATTTAAACTTCTCCACAACAGTATCTCGGACCTGCCTGGTGTGTTCCTTTGTCTTCATGGTTCTGTCTGCGCTTTAAACAGAACCCTGAGACTATCAAAGAGCAGGTGCATTTATACGGAGACTTGATTACACACAGGTGCATTCTATTTATCATCATCAGTCATTTAGGACAACATTGGATCATTCAAAGATCCTCACTGAACTTCTGGATTCACGATTGTGTCCCACTTGTTGTTGATTTTATATCTTTATGTTTGAAGCCTGAAATGTGGCGAAATGTTGAAAGGTTCAAGGGGGCCAAATACACTGTATTTAATATAATGCATCTATTTTTAATCTTTTTGTAAATGTTTAAATCTCCTGTCCTGAATTTACATACAGCATAGGAACACCGGAATACAGGAATGTCATTCTTTAAAGACTGCACATTTGTAGGGATCTGGCACCTCCGCTCCCCAAATACTGCTGCTGGGCCATGACTCAATCAAATAATAAAACAAAAAAATCTTATTTGACAAAAGCATGACTGGCCCATTTTAATTTCAATGTAAAGCCTGAAAATAATAAAAAGAGGGTTGGGGCTAATGCACTAGTTAGAATATGGATAGATTTGAATGGGAATAGGTATATTTTTAAGAATGTTCCAGGTTGTGTTTTTTATCCAGGTTGCCAGTTAAGCAAAACAACCTTTCTATAGAAAGGTTGTAAAAGCAACTCTTGGTGCAGCTCAGTGGGGCAAAAAAGTATTTAGTCGGCAACAAATTGTGCAAGTTCTCCCACTTAAAGTAATGACAGAGGTCTGTAATTTTCATCATAGGTACACTTCAACTGTGAGAGACAGAATGTGAAGAAAAAAAATCCAAGAATTCACATTGTAGGATTTTTAAAGAATTTATTTGTAAATTATGGTGGAAAATAAGTAGTATACTTTCGCAAGGCACTGTAAATACACCTCTGAAGCTGGACTAGTAAGCCTCAGTCTCCTCTGTCTCCTCCGTGTCTTAAAGCTGGGGTACCTGATTTTTCCCTTCCACAACCAGTTCATGTTGGTTGTGCCCAAAAGTAATGGTGTGAGCAAATCAAACAGATTTAAGGTCATTCTGCATTTCAGACTTTTTTGTAATGTCCCTTTCTAATCCCTGTAACAAACAATAGTTTGTTACAGAAAGACAGAACGTTAATGATGTTAATGCCATTTTATGTGGATTTATTGTTATAACAAACAAATACTGTACATTTGTACTATGTTGTCATGTATCTTTCCATTCAAACAACCATTTAAAGAAAAATAAAATGCAAAATGCGATTATTTACGATTAATTCATTTTTAAGATGTAATTAACTCGATTAAAAATTTGAATTGTTTGACAGCCCTAATGTAGATATTTTCTGTGGATTCCTTTCGATGGCAGTCTAAGCCATTTTAATGATAATTGTGCCTGTGGTCTTTTGAATATTTTCAGTTATATTAATCAGTTTTCGTACTTAGTATTATAAAAGTTATATAACTTTCATAATTTACTTTATAAATCTGGTGAAAAATGTAATATTTTTTGGAAGATTTCCTTCTCCACCCAGTACACAGAGCACCAGCACTGATCCTGCTGCAGGTGATGAGTCCACAGGCTTTTGTGCTGACGATGAAACAGCCTTGATCTTTCCGATCAAAATTATGGCTCTTGGAGTTCGAGTAGTCTCATATTTATGGGAGTCCTAGTGTTAATGTAAAATATTACAAGATAGTTATCTGTGTCAAGAGCTGCTTTGGGTTGAAGAATGATAATTTAAATCTAGAGTATCTTGACTTTAAAACCACAAAAAAATAACTACAATAAAAGCTCTCCACATTTTGGCCTCTGTTAACTTTAGCATCTCCTCAAACATGTCCAGGTTCTTACATTTTAGAAAACATGACAAACTATCCCAGAAAGAAGGGCCAGTATTCATCCATTAGGTGGCGCTATATTTATGTCAATAACACTAAATCAGAGATGAGCAAAATTACAATGATAAACACTATAAATGACAATAAATCAAAGTGAACAGACAATATACTTTAAGTGCACACTGTTGTGTGTCTTTGTGTGTTTGGGCGTGCGTTTGTATGTAGTTGTGGTTACATCTACAAAGTGTCGTTCTGTTTAGTCCAGCGAGCGCTGTGACCATAACTGGACTTTTGGCTCCTGGTGCGGACTCAGTGATAGTTTTCGCAATAGTCCACTTTTCTGTGGCTTTTTTTTTTGGGTGCACCACTGGTCTGCTGTCCTGACCCTCCACATGGTCTGTTGCCCTGACCCTCCACATGGTCTCTGTCAGCTCTGGAGACACATTTACTGCTCTAACTGCCTCCAAATGTAGCCTGACCCTGACTATATTCCTCCATGCCTGCTTCACCTCTGTCTCTCCTGCTCAGTGTGCTCAGGCAATGATCTTTGACCAAGACACCCACAGAGCTCTGCTGCCACCTGCTGGCTTAATAAAATACTGTCTACAGCCAAAATGTTACGTCAATAGCAGTCAATGACTTAGTAAAGAGTAAGATAACCTTTATTTCTCCCACATTGGGTTATTTCAGTAACAGCTTTTTCCCTATCATTTCAGAATCAACCATGCGGTGCGAGTCCCTTCACACTTCCACTCGCGGTACCAGGCTCAGAGCAGGACGTACGTGTACAGAGTGGCCCTGGGACCAGACAAGGCCCAGATCCCCCTCAGCGAGGCGGAGCTCTGCTGGAACCTCGGCACCACGTGAGCGCTCCCACACACAACCAGAACTTCATCCATCAATTTTCTTCCGCTTCATTCGTTGCTGGGTCGCGTGGGCAGCTGTCTAAGCAGATTTGCCTTTCGGCTTAGCTCCCTCTTCACCACAACGGTCCGATACAGCGGCCGCAGCACTGCGCACGCTGCACTGCGCACGCTGCACCAATCCGTCTGTCAATTAGGGATGTATCAATCCGATATTCAGTATCGGTATCGGGGGCTGATATGGGTATTTTGTAAGGATCGGATAATATCGGATTTGTTAAATATGAAGCCGATTTTCGTCTCTTTTCAGCATGCTCACACTTTAAGGCTGCCGTAAACTAAATACAATGTAAAACTAGGGCTGGGCGGGCACACGACTTCCGGTGACGTCATGATAAGAACAACAGGCTAGAGAAGAATCTCCGTCAGAAAAAGTTAGAAATCTGTGACAACTACAGATATTTGAGGCTTTTCATCTCATAGATGAAAGCGTAGGCTTTCATCTACGCTTTCTCTGCGTAGGTTTCCTCCGGGTACTCCGGTTTCCCCTACCACTAAAAATATGTATAATAGGATTGGCATGCGCCTCCTGTTCGGCGACCCCGCTCCCATCTCTCTGTGGAGTGAGAGGACAAGTTCCCAAAAATAACAATTGTAAACTGCTTTGTGACTCTGGTCTGTGAAAGGCGGTATAAAATAAAGATTACTTACTTACTTAAAACAACTTGGGAACAATATGTCATCCAATTCGAGGACCAGGGGACATGGAAAATCGGGTGCTCTGAAAGAAACAGACGATAAGTCACCGAAGACAGACAAAGTTAGCTCAGATGCTACTAGCCGCGAGCAACAAGTAGCATGCGAGCCTGAGATGTCTTTAATACAGGAGATGAAGAAAACAGTCAGGGGCATAGACAGACGACACAGACCCTTGAACGCCTGGAAAAGGCTGTGATTGACATTAAGGGGAAACTCGGTGAACATCAGCAGAGGATTGGCGAGCTGGAGGTGAGAGTGAGCGGTGTGGAGGACGAAGGGGCGAGGCGGCACCGTGTGCTGCGGTACATGCTTCAGCGTGAAAAACAACTCACAGATGCTTGTGATGATCTACAAAATAGGCTGAGGAGAAACAACATTCGAATATTCCAAATACCGGAGGGAAGTGAGCTACGTGATATGGTTGCTTTTTTGAAAGATTTGCTACCTAAAGTTGCTGCAGTTGCCACCTAATTTGGACATAAAGATCGAAAGAGCGCACCGCTCGCTTATGTCCAGACCAATAAATCCAGCGGCTCCCCCTAGATCAATCATTGTGAGATTTCTTGACGCCGCCGTAAAGGACGTCGTTTTACAACAAGCATGGAGCCAAGGACCGGTGATGTTTCAAGACAAGAGAATATTCTTTAATCAAGATTATTCTCCCGAGCTACAGAAGAAGCGAACGAAGGTGTACGCAGTCATTAAGCAATTAAAACAGAAGGGCATACAGGCAAAGTGCCTATATCCAGCACGACTTAAGGTTAAGATGGATTCTGGAGAAAAAACTTTTTCCACGCTGGCAAGTGCAGTTGAGACATTGAAGCAGATGGGTATCCAGGCGCAATGTGGAGAGAAGGAGCTTATGGAGGAGAGACTGGCTGAAGGATGGAACATCGATGTGAAGAGGAAGAGAGGCGGTGTTTTGGTGACTGCGGATCTGAGAGCTATGATGGAAGGAGAAGATGAGACGGAATAGTCTGAGGTATACGTCACCTAAAATCGTATGGTTGATAATGTATGGACAATAATGAAGAGACTGAAAGCTATTAGACTGATAAAACGTGAAGTTGTCACGAGGGATATACAAAAAAAATAGAAATAATCTGACGGGGAATCTTGACGTCTACATGAGTGATTCACACTCAATAAGACCTTTTTTACATGTTAATGTAATATTGGTCGTTTTTGCACATTGTGTGCGCTTCTCCACAGAGGGGTCTGGTCACCACTCTCTGTCCCAGTATCATCGGGGGTCAGCCATCGTTTCTGTTAATATTCTGTGTCCGGCTGGAAATGTGGAAGTTCTGTTCTATGTTTATGCTAATGGAGGATTAGCTCTATATTATTTAAACCAATATAAGTGCAAGGATGACTCTGCTTAACTTGGTTACCTATAATGTAAAAGGAATAAACAACCCAGTTAAAAGGAAAAAGATATTGGGACAGTTGAAGAAAACTCATTGTTCTATAGCTTTACTTCAAGAAACACACCTTGCAGAAAAGGAACACCAAAAATTAAGAAGAGAATGGGTAGATCAGGTTTACAGTAGCTCTTTTAGTAAACATAAAAAGAGAGGTGTAGCTATATTATTTAATAGATCGTTGTACTTTCATTGTGAAAAGGTTCTTCAGGATGCGGAGGGTCGTTTTGTTATGGTCATGGGAACAATTGCAGGACTTAAAATAACCATTTTGAATGTCTATGCACCTAACGAGGACTGTCCGCATTTCTTCAAAAGACTGGCGGGTCTGGTTGCAGATAATGGGGAGGGTATTTTGCTCATTGGTGGGGACTTTAATTGCGTACTTAACAATAGGAAAGATAAATTACCTATATCCACAAGGCCTCAGACCAGAATGTCTATATGTTTATTGAATATGATGAAAGAATTGGGATTAACGGATGCTTGGCGGCACCTGCATCCCAATGAGAGAGATTTCACATTTATGTCACAAGTACACGGGAGTTATTCTCGACTGGATCACTTTCTGGTTTCAAAAAGAGACATATACCGGGTTAAGACATGTATTATTGAACCAATGACCATTTCCGATCATAGCCCAGTTAAAATGACACTTGACATTGGCCTTGAGTCGGGTATGAAGTATTGGAGGATTAATGTCTCGTTACTGACTGATATCAATATAAGGGAAGAATTAAGGTCAGCAATACTTGAATATTTTACTTTGAATGATAATGGAATGGTTTCACCCTCTGTCTTATGGGATGCAGGAAAAGCTACAATAAGGGGCAAAATAATATCTATTGGCTCAAGGTTAAAGAAAGACAGATTTAAAAAACAGTCAGACTTAGAAAGTGAAATCAAAATTTTAGAAAGGGAACACAAACAAGATGGAAGACAAGAAGTACTTGATAAACTGAAAGAAAAAAGAACCAAACTAGATGAGATACTGACATATAGGGCAGAGGGTGCACTTCGTTTCATTAATAGGAAATATTATGAATTGGGAAATAAGGCCAGTAGATTATTATCATTTCAACTACAGAAGGCACAAAACAGTCGTATAGTTCCTAAAATTAAACAACTTCACTCCAATGATGTTGAGAGTAACCCAAAAACAATATCTAATACCTTTGCTAAGTACTATGAACAACTGTATAGGAGTCAACTTCAGGAATTAAAAGAGGAGAAAATAAAAGATTTCTTTAAAAATCTCAGGTTAGACAAATTGACAACCGATGAAACCACTGCGCTGGTAGAACCGATTAAAGAAAAAGAGGTGAAAGAAACAATAAATAAATTAAAGAATAATAAGTCGCCTGGAGTGGATGGGTTTGCAGGGGAATATTACAAAGTATTTGTTAATGAACTTGCACCAAGGCTATGTAAGCTATACAATTATGTCTTGGAATCAGGGAATCCTCCGGGGTCATGGTCGGAGGCCATCATTGCAGTCCTGCAAAAAGAAGGAAAAGATCCTCTGCAGTGCTCCAGTTATCGTCCCATCAGTCTCTTGTGTGTGGACTATAAAATACTAACATCTATCTTAGCAACTAGAGTACAAAGATATATTAAGAAACTAATCAAATCTGATCAGACAGGGTTCATTTTAGGGCGCCATGGGACAGATAATATAAGAAGAGCGCTCAATCTGCAGTCACTTATGGCAAGGGATAAACGACCTTCAATGCTTCTCGGCTTAGATGCTGAGAAAGCATTTGATCGGGTTGATTGGCAATTTTTGGAACAAACACTAATTGAGATGGGCTTTGGGGAAAAATTTACTAGCTGGTTTCGGGTACTGTATAAGAATCCTAAATCTAAAATTAGAGTTAATGGACAGTGTTCGGACTTCTTTAATATAGAAAGAGGAGTAAGGCAGGGCGATTCTCTCTCGCCCATCCTCTTTGCTCTCAGCCTTGAGCCTCTGGCAGAGGCCATACGACAGGAAGCTCTGATAGAGGAAGTTGAGGACGGTGGGGGTAGAGTCCACAAAATATCTCTCTTCGCTGACGATATCTTGCTATTCATGAGACATCCTCTTAACACAATACCTCGACTCATGCAATGCTTAAAAGACTATGGAGAAATCTCTGGCTATAAAGTTAATCAAAATAAATCTGAGGCAATGATGGTGTCAGGGAAGTGGCCTACGGAACTAAACAAGATAGTGTCGTTTCGCTGGTCTAAACATGGATTTAGGTACTTGGGTATTATTATAACACCTGACATCACAACACTTTTTGATGCAAATTATAATAAGCTAATTAAGCAAATCCGCAGTGATCTGACTCGTTGGGAAATTCTCCCTTTGTCTCTTTTTGGTAGAGTTGAAACGGTCAGGATGAATTTGCTTCCTCGTCTTCTGTTTCTATTCCAGTCTCTGCCCATAAGAGTACCAATTTCAATTTTTAATATGCTAAACCAATTAATTTCTCAATTTATATGGCAACATAAAAGGCCCAGAATTAAACTCAAAACACTTCACTTGACAAAAAATAAGGGCGGCTTGGCATTGCCAAATTTAAAATGTTATTATTGGGCAGCGCAACTAACAGCAATTGTGACCTGGATTGGTGGGGAGGAGGAGGTAAAATGGTGCCAGATTGAACAGGGTGAAATTGGGGGAACACGGCTGTCAGCCCTCCCCTTTATACACCTAAAACAAATCAATAAGATGAAGTTTGGAAATGAATGGATAAAACATACTGTAAAGGTCTGGGCAGAAGTAAAGAAAATGCTTAAGAACACAGGAACAATCTCTCGAGCTATGCCCATAGCG